TAGTTCGTTTGTGCCACCCTTTTTCTTCATTTCCGCTTGATTTATTTAGTTACTAGCTAACTAATAAATTGATTTCGAAAGGAATATAAGCGATTAAGGAAGGGAATGCAAGAGAGAAGTGCAGAAAACGAACTATTGCGCGAATGGGATGCCTATCCCGAAAATTCTTAGTGTCTTAAAAACTTTGCATCTGCATTAATCTCCATGTTTTCATCTAGAATCAATCAATCATCATTTATTCGTCAGCACAAAATAAAGGTATCATAAGAAAAAACATTTCAAACACACATATGCTTGTGAATCTATGATCTCAGTTGTGAAATTTATTAGTCTCGTAACAGGAGTAGCCCGAAAGATGAAGCCAGTAGTTCGTGTATTTCTTTGAAGGTTGCAAAATATAAACCCAACGTAAAATCTCTATCAACTGTAATAATGCAGCAGCAGAAGTATCACTGATATAGAATAAGAAAAGTAATCAAATCTATTTGTCGGACTGACAGACTGATATTTTCCTGAATAGTGAATCTGTCTGTACACGTTTGAAAGGTTTATTCTTGTGTATTTTTGCTTTTAAAGTAGCATTGTTTTTAATTTTGGTCGGCACGCGGAAGAATTTTGTCTTTAAATTTAGCCGATTTTGGCACGCGAGCCGAAAAAGGTTGCCCACCCCTGCGGCCTATATGCTTGTCGAGGACCCTTAATTTGGATATACTTCATCCGGGTCCGGTTACTGTGAGACTCCGATCACCATCGTGTCGTGAGCTTCACTCTCTTTTTTGCTCGGCTGGGTTGGGTGTCGGACGTGTTTTCCTGTGTTCTCTGTTTTATGCTGTTTTAAGTGTTTTAACTGTGAAGCTGCCTCATAATAAACAACAAATCCGGAATCTGAGTCTTCTGATTCATTCAGTACACAGAATAAAAACCTATCTGTGAAACAATTCATACAATAAAGTATCGTTTTGAAAGGCTCGTATTTGTTATAAATAAAGAATATGACACCTAGCAGGCATATATTACTTATATCCTCCCCGAGGTGGTCTTTCAATATACCTGTCCGGTATGGTGAATATCTGTGGCACACACTCCCTGACTTCAATCAGCCAGTAGCCTATTTGTTGTGCCAGGAATCCTTCTGATAAGTCAACGATGGGAGCTTGCCTTCTGGGTTTGGATACGCTTAACCTGACTGCCGCTGAAATTCCAATGCACTAAACCAGACACAGTTCCGAATCGAACTTGTTTTATTTTACCACTCAACATAAAGTGCTATTGTGGCCACTCGTGTAAGGTCAGGTGATTTAAAAATAGTTTGGACTGCAACGCATTCAAATCCTACTTAATCAGATATACATATGTAACTAAATGCAAAAATAAATACAGTTTTAGGTACAATCCTAATACCTTAATCCCTATTTCAACACATGTCTACATAAAACACAACCCTAAGTTCCCTAAAATACAACCCTAAGTTATTATTAAATCTGCAACAAAAAACGTGCGTCCCTTTTACCAGTGCTGATAAACCAAGAGACTGTCGCAACAACAGGTTGCCACAATATGCACCATATACCAATTACGTATGGGCACTAGATTGCAATCAGAAAGTATTATGTCAATTGAATGCGAGTCATCAAAAGTGGATACTAAGTCTATACCTAAAACAGTTCTAAATAAATGAAATAATATACCAACGTGCAGTGACTAAATACATCAGAATATTTGCATAAGAAAAGCAATATGTGGCAACACTATATGCACTGCCTTATTAGGAATGAAACGGCAATCATCCTCAACACACCGGCCCCAATCATTTTGTTCACAAAATTATTTTAAACAATGAGGATGATTTATCCAACAATCGAACACAATGAAAACATGCAATAAAATAACATACTGAGAACATGAAATGAAACAACATATACAAAAAATGACCTGGACCACTGAACATGTTTGGCAATAAAGGACAGAAGCTTAAGCAGCTTCAAGTAGGCAGAGTTTCCTAACATCACGAACTAGATCAGAATTCCTAGTATGAACCTTAACCCTCCTAACCATCCCATCCTTATCGGGAAATACCTCAATCACTCTACCCTTGGGCCAAACGCCGCGCGGAGTATCGTCGCCATACAGAAGCACAATGTCACCCACTTTCAAATTTCTCTCAGGAAAGAGCCATTTCTGTCTCTTTTGCAATAGCGGTAAATACTCCTTTGTCCAGCAATTCCAAAATCGATCAAGACTGAGCTGGACATGTCTCCAATTTTCGCGAAACTCGTCACCGCGCGTAAACTTATCGGGAGCAATAGAGGGATCAAGATTTCCAGTCAAAATGGAATTTGGTGTCAGAACCTCCAAATCCCTTGCATCATCACTAATAGGTGTCAATGGGCGATCATTCAGAATTCTTTCTACCCCAGTCAGCATGGAGATGAGCGAAAAATCAGTAAATGTTCGTGATTTAGCACAAATCGCATAAAGAACTCTTTTTGCCTCCCGGACCATTATCTCAACCAAGCCATTCTGGTGAGGTGCTAAAGGCGGTTGAAAATCCCACTGAATTCCATGTTGTGACAGAGAATTTGCAATTTGACTCTGATTCCACTTACAAATCCCCTCAGCAAGAAGTCTCTCACCAGCCACAAAGTTTGTGCCATTATCTGAAATTACATGGGATGGTTTTGAACGCCTATCACAAAATCGAAAAAAGGCCTGCAAAAATGCAGATGCATCAAGTGATTCCGAGACCTCAATATGAACAGCCCTAGTGACTGAACAGGTGAATATGCATCCATACCGCTTGTATTCCTTACGTCCCAATTTGACTTTCAATGGGCCAAAGTAATCTACAGCAGTGTGATAGAAAGGAGTGCGACCACCCAGAACACGCGACTCTGGCAGAGGAGCCATCCACTGTGAACCAGGTCTACTTGCCCTCAACTTGCACAATTCACAAGCATTCAGCACCTTACGAACTTCCGCCTGTCCACAAAGAATCTAAAATTTTTCCCGCACAGAGGAAAGAGTGTGCAATGTACCAGAATGACCATTTTGCCGATGATAATACTCTATTATCAATTTTGTTACATGATGATGAGGTGGTAATATTATTGGATGCTTCTGCTCCGGTGATAAATGTGAGTGTCGAAGACGGCCACCCACCCGCAAAATATCATTGTCTAAAAATGGGCTAAGTTTAATGAGAGCCTTAGAATGTGGTGATGTAGGCAACTTACAACCACTGCTCAAGTAGTCTGGTCCGTCATGTACACGCTCACTAAAATATTCGAGCTCTGGAGAAAACGATTCAATTTGGGCCAACTTGCAGATCTGAATAGTTGCTACACTAAGTTCCGTAACAGTTAAATCTCCAGTCATTGGGGAGTCATTTGATCGACAGGTTTTCCACAAAATAAAAAACTTAAAACGCAACATCCATGCAATTGTTCTCGACAATTTTTCCCACGTTGAATAGCGATTTATTAACTCAGGAAAATACTGGGATCTCTTTTGATTTTCAACAAGATTCACCTTAATTTCACAATGTAAATCGGAATTAGTTGGTATGGTATCTGACACTGATGAAGTGCCAGGCCATGAAACACTTTGTTGCCACAAAAAACTCGGACCTTGAAACCATAATTTTGCCTTATCCAGCTTATCTGGCATAAGGCCACGAGAAGCGATGTCTGCTGGATTTTCATTTGTTGGAACATGAGACCACTGCGACACATCAGAGATTGCTTGAATAATATTAACCCGATTGGCTACAAAAGTCTTAAAGCGCTGTGATCTACTATTCAACATCTGCAACACAGTCATCGAGTCTGTCCAATAACAAGTTTCGTGTATCTCATAGTCTAGTGCATTGGTGACAGAATGAGCAAGTTCTGTAGCAACGACTGCCCCGTCAATTCTAGTCGTGGAATTGGCACTAGCTTCTTGGGGGTAACACGCGCAGTACCCTTTACAAATGCACAGTGAACCTCGCCGGATTCGTTCTCCAACCTAAGGTACGCTACTGCACCGTAGCCCACTCTACTTGCGTCGCAAAAACAGTGAAGCTGCACATTCGCCGCCTCAAATCCTTCCGGTTTGTAGCAACGTTGTATTGTATAGTCAACTCCCTCAAACTAGGCAAGGTGCTGATTCATTTCTCCCAACCATCATACAAGTCTCCCTCGACAGGATCATCCCACGAGTAACCCAAAAAACACAAATCCTGCAAAATGCGCTTTGCGGGAATCAAAAACGGTTGAATAAACCCCAATGGATCATATACCTGGCCAAGCATGCTGAGCATGCCACGGCGCGTTGAGGGTCGAAACTCAATTTCCACCCGAACCTTGAAGACGTCGTGCACCATGTTCCAATAAATTCCCAGCGTACGTTCAGTCAACTCTGTACTAAAGTCAAGCGCTTTCGTTGCGGTTGAGCGATCCGCCTCGGGAATCGCTTCCATTACTTCAATTTTATTACAAGCAAACTTTGTAAGACAGAACCCACCCGATGCGAGTAATTCGATCAGCTGATTTATCAATTGAAGTGTTTCATCGACGGTACGTTTCGACTTCACACCGTCATCAACGAAAAAACTGCGTTGCACTGTCTGTATCGTTTCCAGATCAGCATTCGTTAGATTGTCATCAGCGACACGTTTCAACACAAATGACGCAATCGAAGGACTCGACGACGCGCCAAAAACATGCGAACACATTCGCAGATCAATAGGTTTCTTTCCCAAGTCGTCATTCGGATACCACAGAAAACGCATCGCATCACGATCTCGACTGTCCAGAATAACACATAGATACATTTCCCGCACATCACAAATAAAGGCAAGCGCTTCCTCGCGAAACCGCAGTAGAATACTCACCAAATTCGTATTTAGGTCTGGACCTGAAAGTAAATTCTTGTTAAGTGAAGTGCCGCCGCACTCCGCACTGCAATCGAAAACAACCCGGAACTTGGCCCCAGTAGAGTGGGGTGGCATATACCAAGTCCTACCCAGAATCACCCTCAGGCACTATTTCCGCATACCCCTTGTCTAAGTAATCATTAGTTTTGGACTTGTATTTGAAAAATAAATCAGGGTCCCTAACAAATTTTCGTTTTTGGGACTCTAATCTTTTCACTGCCATTTGACGATTGTTTGGAAGTTTAATATTTTTATCTTTCCATGGAAGAGCAACTTGGTACCTTCCATTTACTTTTACTGCAGTGTCATTCATCACTACAAGAGCTTTCTTATCATCTAGGGAATGTTCAGTGGTGAAGAGATCACAATCTAAATCTATAAAATCATGACCACAAATTTTGCACAAAAATTGATCAGTATCACATGCACACACAGTATTTAGACGAGGACATGAAACATCACTTACACTTTCACAACTGCTATGAGACATAGTTCTGTCAGGACCGAAAAGAGCCCAACCAAATACTGTCCTGTGAGCAGCGGGAAACTTTGCCTTTTGATCACAAAGCCTAATTTCAGAAATGGGATGATTGGCTAACACTTCAGCACCAATCAATAAATCAACCTCACTAGATCCTAGCACAGGAAATTCCAAATCACCCAAATGAGGATATTTCTGTAACACATTAGCAGTCGGGATAGAACTCTCTAAATTGGGTAAATTAATTGCCAAAACATTGGGAATGTCAACAACCCTTTCCGAATCACAACCTTTTACTTTCAGTGAAACTGTTTTACCACTGTGTAATTTACTACCATTCGCTGTTGCGAGCATACAATCTTCAGGTTTACCCTCAATACCCAATTTTGCAAGTAAATTGTGGGAGCACAAGGATCTGGTAGACCCTTCATCTAAAAAGGCATAAGTACACACAGCATCAGAAGCACCATTGCTTGGTTGCACAGGTACAACCTTAAGTCTAACAAAATTTTGAATATTTTCCGAACAATTAACATTTGCGAAATAAGCACCGGCCCCATTTTCTTTCTTGGGGGCAGACACATTAATTTGAGAATTAGCATTGCTAGAAAAATGAGCACCAGTGGTTGGTGGCTTCTTTTGATCAACATGTAATCAGGGATGGCCAATACCGAATAGTTCACTATTTCGAATACATTCGAAATTATTATTTTCGAATATGAAATTTCGAATACTTCGAAAATAAAATCCAGTAATAGAATCTAAGTCTATGAAGGAATTTTCATACAATAAACAATGGAATAACTTCTATCTACAACCTGGCTATATTACCAGGCATTTCATGTTTGCAGATTATTGCGATATATATTTTATATAACATGATTTGTGTTAATTAACAGAATTAAAATAATACGGCAAGGCATTTTAAATAGTGGTATCGGTGATGGATTTGAATGCTTGCGCAACACAAAATCATCCTAGTATAACGCCCATACTTTTAAATACCAACCATTATTCAAATTATTTGTCAAAAAGCGGGATAAAGTATGAGTTCTTTTTCAGACTTGTGACAATTTTTTCGTGAGTACAAAAATACGAATCAAAAAGTAATTATATTCGGGAACTTTACCACACATTTTAAGTCCGCAGATCGCCGTTGCATGTTTGTGTAATAATACTTTTATTATTTCATAAATACGAAAATAGGGTTCAAAAACTATTTATAATCGGGTAGTTTACCACACATTCAATGTCCACAGATCACCGTTGTATTTTGTAAATACGAAAATAAGATCAAAAATTAATATCAATCGCGAGTTTGCCTCACAATTTATGTCCACAGAATGCCGTGATATTGTGCCCGAATATAATTAATTTTTGATTCTTATTTTCGTACTCACGAAAAAAATGTCGGAAGTCGGAACAAGTCGGAAAAATAATTTATACTTTATTACACATTCAAGTCCACAAATCGCCGTTGTATTTTTGAGTTATAATAGTTTTATTATTTTGTAAATACGAATCCGAAATTAATTATAATTGGGCAGTTTACCACACATTTCATGCCCACAAATACCCGTGGTATTTGGTATTAATACTTTCATTATCGATACTTTTGACCATCATTATCAAAATTATTTGCCAGAAAGCGGGTGAAGGTATTTTTCTAATAAATCAACTTGTTTCCCAACTTGTGACAATTTATTGGATATCGTAACAATTACGGCAATGAATACCGTATTTCCCGGCTAATAAGTCTACATGGCAAATAGGACGATGTATATTTTTAGCACTCAAAAAAAGGGGTTTTTCCATATAGGCCTCCAAGAAGACGGGTAGAAAAATTGTTCCCTGTTGTTCAGTTATGCTAATGTGCGCTAATAATAATGTTTAGAACCAGATCACGTTTGTTTAGTAGAATCATACTCACAGAATTAACTATTTTTAACAATAAAGCGGTAATTTTAAGTTAAAAATCACAATCATTTTGAACAATCTATAATTTTATTGGGTCAGAACAGAACCAGATCGTGTTTGTTTGGTAGAACCATACTCACGGAATTATCTATTCTCAACAATGAAGCGGTGAATTTAAATTATAAAGCGGCAATCATTTTGGACAATCTATCAACCCGAATGTTGAAATAATTTTGGAATGTGGTAAGTACCACGCGGTACGTCCACGGGTTATTTCACAGCTGTGTTTCATGTCCCTGTCGTTTTCTGCTGAATCGGCAAAACCAAAGGGTCATAAATCACTTACTTTATCTCGGTGGCCGTGTTTTCTCTTTTAAGTAACGATAACCGGCCTACGATTAAATATCATGATTGGCAGACTCATAAGAACCAAATATAAGGTTAACACAAATTATGCTTGAGAAGACTAATGCGAAAAATAAGCAGGCCACATAGAAATAAAATAAACATACTTTCTCAATAAGGCGCCCCTCCCCCCAAAAAATCAAGCCAAAATTGGGTCTAGAAAAGCGACTTATTAGCCGGGAAATACGATGATTGTCGATTTTTCGACTAATGGAAATGATTTTGTGAATTAAAAGACGAATGTCGGCAATGTCCACCAACGCAAACGTGCAAATGTGTCGCAACACTATGCGACGTACATTCGCGCTGAATATAAACAATCAAAATGCCGATTCTATTTCATCGTCATTACAATACGTGAGAAAGCGTAAAAAGTCGTTTGAAGATTCCGGTAAAACGAAACACCGTGTCTACGGCGAAAAGTGACTACTATTCGTAATTATTCGGAAATGAGCCGAAAAGGTATTCGAATACTTTGATATTCGAATAATTTCGAATATTCGATTCGTTTTGGACAACCCTGCATGTAATAAACTGTGATGTAATTTACCACAGCCATTCACTTGACACACATATTTAGAAGGACAATTATTTGCACGATGAGAACGATACAAGCAATTAAAGCAAAGATTATTTCGTCTCACCATTTCGGCGCGATCATTAACACTTCTCCCTTTAAACTCGACACAGTTGTGTAAAGCATGATTTCCTTGACAGTCCACACACTTGTACTGCAAATCAGCTACCTTGGGTCCTGGAGTCTTCTCTTGGGTATTGGTGACTGCATACGATGTAGTTCTTGTCATCCTAGGTTTGGTGACTCGAATAGTTGATTTCTGTTTGGCAGAATTCTTGGTCACAATCCGACCATAAAATGTAGTAGTTAGCTGCGCTTTCTTCACCACGAATGCAACCAAGTGTGAAAATGTAGGAAGTTTACTGTCATCAAATTGGTCCGCATACTTTCGTTGCAAGTACATGGGCAGACGTGAGAATACACGCTCAAGATTTTCATAGCCATCCATGAATGAATTTGCATTCCACTCACTAAGCACAATCTCACAATTACGCAGTTGAGTGGCCAACTTGCAAAGTCCTTGAGTGTCATCGTTCATAATCTTGGGACCATTTGTTACCTCTTTACTTGTAGCTTCAATTACCACAGTTCGGTTACCAAACTGTTCATGTAAGGTTTGCCACGCCATCTGATAGCCCTTGCTTGGTGGCGACACTAGTACTAAATTCTTGATGGCATCCTTTGCGATGCCAGAACACAATTGAATCAGCTGTGCAAGCTTTGTCTCAGGCGCATGTTGGTGACAATGAATGTTAGTCTCAAATGACTTCATGAAGGCATGGAAACGCAGGGGATTTCCATCAAACTCCATCAGTTCAACTTTGGGCAATGTGAAACCTTCTCGCAGAGCATTAATCATAGCACCATAATCTGGAGGAACAGCACTTGTTGCTGTTTGAAGTGGCAAAGCTGAATTCGGTACCGCCTGATAAATCTCATCACCAACTTGACGATTACCACTTTCGTATGAATTTACTACTGGTTGATGCGCACCAGTAGCAAGTGTTGACACAGATGGTGCAAAACCGCTCTGAACGACACCTCCACTGCCATATGAATTTACTACTGGCTGATGCGCACCAGTAGCGTGTGTTAACACAGGTGGTACAGAACCGCAGCTCTGCAGCACTCCTTCTCTTGCATATGAATTTACTACTGGCCGATGCGCAACAGTAGCATGTGTTAACACAGGTGGTACAGAACCGCAGCTCTGCAGCACTCCTTCCCTTGCATATGAATTTACTACTGACTGATGCGCACCAGTAGCATGTGTTAACACAGGTGGTACAGAACCGCAGCTCTGCAGCACTCCTTCACTTGTAATAGGGGAAGATTCCCAAACAACAGTAGATTTTGAAGGCTCACGAACCATATGTGCGTGACCTACATCTGAAGCCTATTGTCTTATTGGTAGTTGGTGAACTGTTTCATCAGAAGAAAAATGCAATCTCGTGAAATCCACTGAGTCGCCATGTCTGGACGAAGTCCCTGATGAACTAGCCTTTATAAGTAGCTCAGCCTTCTTCTTCTTTGCTTCTGTCATTGCTGTTTCTATTTTTTCTCTTAACAATTCTTCTTGAGCTTCAAGAAGCATCAGTTCTGCCTGGAGGCACTTTGATGATGTTGATGAAAGTCTTGTTTTCGCTGAGCTAGATGAATGCGTGGAAGCAACTTTAGAGTATTGTATATTTTTTGCCATAATCCACCGGTAGTCGGGGACCGTGTACTATTTTTAAATGATGTCCGGTATGGTGAATATCTGTGGCACACACTCCCTGACTTCAATCAGCCAGTAGCCTATTTGTTGTGCCAGGAATCCTTCTGATAAGTCAACGATGGGAGCTTGCCTTCTGGGTTTGGATACGCTTAACCTGACTGCCGCTGAAATTCCAATGCACTAAACCAGACACAGTTCCGAATCGAACTTGTTTTATTTTACCACTCAACATAAAGTGCTATTGTGGCCACTCGTGTAAGGTCAGGTGATTTAAAAATAGTTTGGACTGCAACGCATCCAAATCCTACTTAATCAGATATACATATGTAACTAAATGCAAAAATAAATACAGTTTTAGGTACAATCCTAATACCTTAATCCCTATTTCAACACATGTCTACATGAAACACAACCCTAAGTTCCCTAAAATACAACCCTAAGTTATTATTAAATCTGCAACAAAAAACGTGCGTCCCTTTTACCAGTGCTGATAAACCAAGAGACTGTCGCAACAACAGGTTGCCACAATATGCACCATATACCAATTACGTATGGGCACTAGATTGCAATCAGAAAGTATTATGTCAATTGAATGCGAGTCATCAAAAGTGGATACTAAGTCTATACCTAAAACAGTTCTAAATAAATGAAATAATATACAAATACCAACGTGCAGTGACTAAATACATCAGAATATTTGCATAAGAAAAGCAATATGTGGCAACACTATATGCACTGCCTTATTAGGAATGAAACGGCAATCATCCTCAACAATACCCTCATGAATTCTGCAGGTTACTGATGAATTCTGGCATGTGGTCTGACCGACAATATGTTCATAATTTGTTTGAATCGGGAATCTCATAAATTCTTAATAAAAACTCATCTGCATCACGAAGCAATATTTGTTGGAGCGACATTTCGTGAACAAATGTTTGTTTACATTGCCTCTATCTATTATGATTACCTGGAACAGTATTAATTAACGGTACGTCTTAAAGGCAATTTTATCATTCTGTGTACTTATTTTGAACCGTACGCTAGCTCTATCGGGCGTTGCATTGAATACATACAAATATTTTCAAATATTATCGTTGCATTATTAGAAATGACAGTGAACAAATCGAGTTTGGAATATACTCGATCTCAGTGCCTGACCTATTGCTGTAACATATTCATATGTAATAACGCATCCTAGGCTATTTTTCTGTCTCGAATCGCCTAGATTCATCAAACAAGAAGTTGTCCGTGATAACCCACCTTTAAGTGGGAATGAATATATATTATCAGTGGCTCGAAACGAGTAAATAAAGTTAGATCTCGTTACCGTGCTCGCGGTTATTTTTTCAATTGCCTTCATACTTCACTTGTACAAATCACTATTACGTCCGTGTATGCGAGTATTGCTGGCATATATGGGCTGGTGCTCGTTTGGCAGTACTGAACATCCTAGATCACATTCTGGAGACAAATTTGTGGTTACCTGATATACATCAGTTGACTTCTAACATCTGGGCTTTAATTTTCAGATTAACACAAAGTATAAAACAGAGCAGTACATAAGAACTTATTGAACAAATACCGGATGTAAACAGATAAGAGGTAAAAGATAATTAGGTAAAGGACTACATCAATTAAGAGTAATTTAGGGTAATAATCATAATCACCTAACAAATTCAAACATGAACACACAATGCATAGCGATAATATAATGTTGTTTAACATTATCTCAATTTTAAATATGATTGGCTTCTAACTGGCGTCCGAACTGCAAACTTTTTCCTATCGACGTCCGTCGCTGTGCTTATTTTATGTATATTATATTCGTCAAACTCGGTTGACTGGGAGCTATCACCCGGTTACAAAATAATGTAATAACTTCAGTTAAGCGGAATTCACTAACTCGTAGCTATTTTTAGTGCTCGCAAAAACTGATATATATATATCACCGGAATGGCCGATAATTTACCGCAAAATTAGCGCTAAACTTTGTACAATTCAGCAATACTTTCACATAACTTTTAAAAGAACTGTTATAGAAGCTATATGATTATCAAATTTGATACAAAGAAGATATTTAAAGGAGATCAAGTACGGGAATGAAAAATATATATTTTTAAAACCGTTACAGCCACAGAAAAAATATGAAACTTGTTTAGTTTTTCCAGAGCTATCTAGTAATCGGATTACTTGTTGCTCGATTAAAAAGATAAATGAAAAAAATGTAAAATTTTCCCCAAAAAATTGGTACAAAAAAGTAAGCGATTAATAGTGCCGTTTTCCAAAATAAAATATTAAATTAGTTATGACAGTAGGGTAACCAAGTATTTACTTTTTCATACACAAAAAATCGCATGATGTTTGCATTTAAATTTTTCGAGCAACGAAGCGGTAAAGTTGGCAAAATTTGCTACTTTTTTTTGGCTGTGTTGCTGTCGAACGACGCTTCGACGCACCTATATTACGTTAATGCGTATGATCGAACGTTGTTGCGTGACTACAACGTGTCGCTGTGCGTATCGTCGATATCGCGGCCTCCAGCTATGCGTAGCGGTCAACTGAATCAATTGTTAATCCGGCCGAACAATTTGATATTGCATTATAGATATGGTATATATATTACGACCAAACACACGTAACGCACTGGAAAATTCAATTTATTTACGTATGTCAGTTGGGTTTTTATTTTTAGGAGTGAAGAATTTTGTATTCTCTGTTCATTTTGTTCAAATTATCATGACAAAAATGACTACACATAAATGATTTGGATCAGGGGTGGGTAAGTGTTTGGGCGTGCAGGCCATATTGAGCAAAATAAGTAGTAGATGATCACACTTGTTATTAAGCGCATCGATGTAGTATTCCTATTGAATTGTATTTTAAATTTGCCATCATTTCAAGAGCCAACAAGTATCAGTCAAATAAATCAACATCATTTCATTCAATCTAATATGGTAGCACATTAAATTTGTATTTATTTTTACCGTTTTTGCCTTCCTGTGCGGAGGCGGCAAGAGTTAATGGCGGAGGTATGTTAAAATAATAGTACTTAACCCTTCTCTTTTATGGTCTGAATTGCGTAAACTGTAAATATACCTATTGATCTTTAAAGTGTAGAAAGTTTAATAATAATGACAAATCTGATATGTATTTGATTATATTTTAACAATATACATATATCAATATAAACTCTTGGATTTGAAGTAAACTTGCGGAACCTTTGGCTTGACTGTACTGACGGAATCCTAGAATGCCGCGGAAAGCCAGGTTCTAAAGCACATAACACACTCTTTTAATGTAACTTCAATTAGTTGTTAATGATTTTTTCTCTTGTTTTTAGGTAGAATTGGTCTTCGTCTCAGCTACCCATTACACACATACACATATTAGTATATATTGTATATTTTGAGTACACAATGATGACAATTCGAATTCACAATCTTCGAGCGCTACCCGTTGCGACGTTCAATGAAAAATAGTGCCTTCAGAAACCTTCGGAATGATACCTAACGAATAAAATCTTTACGACTTTACACCTTAAAATTTCATGCCGTCCGTTCACAAGTCGCAATAGGAAAGTTGATGAATTTGCGTGACATGCATCAAATAACGCGCATAACGAATTTTCGAACTGAAAAATTATAAAACCAAACAACAAGTATATGCTAATTACAGCAACACTATGAATTGACAACATGAATAACGTACAGCACAAATTAAGCTCTAATCTTGCTTGATATATTAAATAGTATCAAATATCAATTTACGTAAGATCAGTACTGGTACGTTCGTTTTTATTTTGCGGTTTTGTCAGAAGACGTGGTGATATTTTCATATTTGTTTTAATGTACAATTCCAAAACAATAGTTCATATCGGTCTCTGCCCGAGGGCGCAGTAGAATTCTTTGAAGACGGTAGAGCATCGCGATGGATGCAAGAGTGATTATTGAACAAAAAAATGTGTTGGTATTGTTAAATATTTATATTTTTTTGATTGAAAAGTTTAATAAAGGACAAAATTGATAGATTGTAATTTATGAAAAACGAAATGCGATTGCTATATTTATATGCAACCAATTTAAATTGTTGATGCAAGTAAGAAAAAAAGCATTTGTTATGCGTATAGTTATGGGGTTGGAGTAAGTCCAGGTGCGTTAACCTTTAGAACTTCCTTAAATCCATATTTCATTCCCTTCGTGAACCTCGTATTTGGCAATAAAATATGTTTTTGCTTGTCTAATTATCAAGTATTTTTTATATTTACAGTTCTAATCCAAAGTTAAACGTTATTATAGACATAAGTAGAGTTGACCAAGGATGGACCCTATTGAAGAAAAGGGGAAAATCAGAATTTTGTTTTATTGTTTGGATTGAACTATGGCACCGGGAATTAGAAACATAACATGGATTCGTCGTTAGAAGTCGTTAATACGAGCAAAGTAACTATGATTATTATTAAAAGATAAAATCAAATATAGTTTCCCATGTAAGTATACTACAGAAATGTTCGGAAAATAAACTAAAAATATACTTGCAATTGCAGTTAATTGGATTGTTTCAGATATGCCTGATATTAAGACCATGAATTGCCATGTGTGGGTCGTATCTAAAACTTTAATTAGAATAAAAATGATAGGCAATACATTCTACTATTAGGTAAAATAAATGTAAATTACTGTGAAATTAAAGTAGGTTGTACAATTTTATAGCATCGCATAACGAGTAATTATATCGGCACTGTTTAGAAGTCCGCATTAAATGAGAGTCGTTCACTTAATCGGGGCTTTCTAATTGAACAAGCAGAGTCGGAGACAATTTTCACAATTCTTTTGCATTGAATTGAACACCGAAAGCAATCAGCGAGGGAGGAGTTGCATGTTGTAACATAAAAGTTAGATTAAGTCAAGTTTGTGGAAGATTTTCGGTTATTTGGTTCAATATTTTAGATAAGAACGTGAACTGTATGATTTTTGTTTTGTTAGAAAACTATGTTTATTAATTAATGATAAGAATGACTGAAACGGCAGTTACTCGACTCATTAGCGACCCCACAAAAATTCCGAGCTCGCTAAATGGGATATACCCAACTACAAACTTATCCTGTGAGTATAATACTGAGCCTCATCCTGCGTTTGATATATTGCCGCAATTGGCAGACCACGAAAATGGTATGACTACTGGTCATTTAGGGTTAGATATGAACAATATTAGACTGCAAGTACCACCGAGAAAAACGTACGATCACATTCAAGACAAAGAGTTGAGGAAGAAAATGAAAAATCGAGAATCGGCACAGGCAGCAAGAGACAGGAAAAAGGCCAAAATGGTTTTTCTAGAAAATAAAGTTTCTGAACTTTTAGAACGCAATAGATATCTGGAACATGAAAACGAAAATCTTCGAAAATGGATTCAAAAAGTGGATACAACTTATTTTTGGAATTCAAAGGCATCAAATAATCATAATCAGCACATTTCGTTTCCTGCTACATACTCAGGAAGTCCTGGAATCAGCAACTCATCCGAGAGCGTGGATTCAGTCGATCGTGACCAAACGATGCAATATACATTTGGCAATAATGCGAATAACACTTTTCCGTTAACAATAGATGCAAACATGGAAAAACAACATCAGATCGCAATCGTGGCGGACTGCGTGTCTCGGTAAGTGATTCCTTCTAATCGGTGTTGTATGTTGTTGGTAGTATACCGTAAAGTTCATGTCGTTGGTACATTTACATGGTCTGTGATGACTCGAATGCTTACGTACCACAATTTTTCCGATGCCAACGAGTGCATATTGCTAGTCTCTATGGGTAGCTTTCATCCAGATAAAAATGTTGATTAACTCTTCGATTGCTACTTTCTGTGGTCATATGTGTGACCATGTCAATAAATGTTTTGTGCGTTTAAGAGGGGTTCGTTGAGAAAATTCTTGAAACTCCAAAATTAAATTGAAAAGAAATTTATGGAATCATAAAGAACATTTCAAAATACTTTGGAACCTAGTGTTTGTTGACACTTGTCGCAGACATAAGTTATCAAACAAGATTAAAACTATTTCGTGTCGTTTAATTTTTCGAAACGAATGATAATAATAAAAGTATTTGAGCAAAACAGTTTACTGAGATCATGTGGTGGCTTTTTAAATATTTTCTGCAATAGTCATCGGTTTAGCATGACATTATTGGATGCGGGGTATTAATGCAAGTTTTGTTTGCATTTGATGATTTAATCTAACAGACGATGACGCCCATGACATTGATAAACATCTTTAAGTGCAAAGCATTAGGAAAGACTTACGTGTCTTCATTATCTTCTATTCGTCTTAGTTATTTATTTATTTATCTATTTATCATAATTACTACTTTAAATACCTAATTTTGTTTATAGCTATAGCGAAATATCAATGATACATCATTCCAAGTAGTCCAAACTTAAGTAAATGTCAAATCTACTACAACATGATATTTTGACTCGTGTATAAAAAATAATTCGTTGAATTTCACGCTTGCCCTGTTGTTAGATTAGGATTGCGGTTGGGTGGAGAATATTTGGCTTCGGTTCATTTTTGTGTTTATGATAATTTTCTGATTAATAATTGTGAAATCGTTGATTATTCTGATATTATTCGCTTAAAATAGCATAAAGACGCGCGCAATATTTTAATTTAAAATAAGACAAAAGGCTTACTAAACGGGATGGGGATGGTATATCTTTAAAAAAAATATATTGCTAATGTTTATAATCAAGGTGATCCCAAAAAACTGAACCAATAAATTTCATTAATTACTTCTACGAAAATGTAAGTATTAGTAAGTAAAAGTAAATTATTTAAGTTTGTTTACACTAGAACTTCTGTTTGTGTTTAATTGTATTCAAAAGTTTCGTAAATCTAGGAGGTTTAGACCAATAGCTATGTTCTTTCTGGAATAGGATACAAACACCAGTTGCGCAAAATTGTCAATCACTCGCACACACTCCTCGGTGGGAATTTTTCGGATATTTTTATCGCAGTTGCAGCCTTGAGTTCATCAATTGTTTGATGATTGTTCTGATGCACATTGTCCTTCAAATACCCTTTCATATATAAATGTAGGGTTCAATCCCAATGAATAAAGTGCCCACTCAACGTTATTGCTGATCAGCCTTAAATTGCTTTCTCAGCCATTCAAGGATGTGGTTTGATCTTTGGGAGGTTTCCGCGTTATGCTGGAACCATCTCGATCAATCCCTCTACATCGTCCAAGTGATATTCAGAACTTTATCGCAATCATCACGTAACGTTCCTTATAGGCTTTTTCATTTTCGTCTTTAAATCAAAACGGACCGACCATGCCATGTTTGGGAACGATTGCCCATGCCTTGCAATTTACTGAGTGTGACGGTCTCTGTAAGATTTTCATCGTAGTGCTTTACCAAGTAAAAATCATTGTTGCTATTGGCATGACCTGACAGCAGAAAATGTGCATCAGAGGAAAAGCAAGTGAGTGATTGACAATTTTACGCAACGGATACAAATTTGTCTCTAATGTCAAGAAGGCAGTTTGGGACATATTATTATAAAGAGAACATAACTTTATTACAAAGCGTCTCAGATTTCTGAAAATTTCTGGTATAATCATACACAAACAGAAGTTTAAGCGAAACCAAAATAAAATATTTTCATAGAGGTAATTGAGAAATTTATGGGTTCCGTTTATTTGAGTCAACCTGTTACAAATACGGTAATTTCAAAAGCACCACTACGACAGTGGGTATATGCATTCACTCTGGTGTGTAAATGTACCAGCATCATCAAATTTTTGATACTTTGCATTTGTGAACAGAGAAGAAACCGAAAGAAGGGAAGTGTACGGAGTCAAGAAGTACGCCGGTATCCAAGAAAATACAAACAGCATCACATCACGGCATCCAGATGAACAACGATTTTCTACAGCTAATCAAATGAACAACTGCAACTTGATTGCTTCACAAGAAAGCGTTGGTTTGTGAACTCTTTCTTAAATTAATCTCGGTTGTAACCGTCACAAAATCAATAAGTCAGTATTTCTTGGCATTTTTCAATATTTTACAAGTTTAACTTGTATGTTGATAGAACGGCGGACGATTAAATAAAATGGGTATGCTCTTCGTAACAAACATATGATGGTTTGCTGTTAAGATAAGTCCATACGGTAGAGCGTCTGGTTGTTCTGAATTTTGTTAGAAAAAAGAAGCGTCAAGAATAAAAAACATCTACATAGCCTAGAGCAAGATTAATGTCAGTCACCAAAATTTTGGGTTTATTAGAAGGATTAAAATAAAGCATATTTGTAAAAAAAAATTCATGCCTGTCAAGGTCTTTGCTGCAATGATTAAATACTTGGTGAGTCATTGCAATATATACTTAATTAACATCAGCAACAGTGATCCTATTCGTAATTTAATGTTAAAAATTGCTACTATTCAATATTTATCTAAATACAGGACAATATGTGGGAGTCACAAAAATAACTTCATCGACGTAACATTGAAGAGAAGTTAGCAACACACTCAGAAAATTTAATTTACAAAATTCTTTAGTCTAACTAAATCATTTATATAATGAATAATCCATATCGACGATAGAAAATATCAAAAATATATGAAGCACCAGACAAAATCAATATGTTTAAGTTTATGAACTTGGTCTATGACAATGTCGTCTTCTCCAAATAAACATAAATACAAGGGGGCAATGCTCAAATATATGGACACGAAAGCCAGAACGAAATTTCTACCCACAAATCCACCCAAAATCATATCTTAAACAACGCTGGAACTGTGGAACAGGGTACCGGTACCCGGACTGTCCTAGCTTTTCCAGGTCCTGTGACGATGATGATTCAAGCGTTTAGTCTGAACGTGAATTGAAATACCAAATGATTCGAGTCTGTGGTATCAAATCTTTTACAGTATCGATAATCTATCTTTAGATTATCAAAAAAACTCTAGGTCCGCATAGCGCCAGATCGCTGAAATCTAAACGCGGAATCGCCACACGGTGCGCATTTTGATGACGTTATCACGCGAAACCTCCAAATAAAAAAATTATTTTTACATGAAATTTTCAAAATAAATGAAATTAATACCCGCTAGCTACAACATCAATCTTTAATTGCAGAGAAGTGTAAAGCAATTGGTCCTATTAATTTTTCCAAAAAAGAATGAAAGGAAGAAGGGAAAAATACTAACAAAAAAGCGTGATGACAAAACAATCAAGCAATCCCTCCATTTCGTGTCCAACAAATAATCATCAACTGGGTGATCGCCATGATCGATTTGTGAATTTGAAAGTTATCTAGTGAAAATCTTGTATGACAAATGTTTATTATCAGTTAATTTTTTATTTTTTAAAAACGCTAGAATAGCCTGGGCATAGTTTTAGATTGCAATTACTACATACTTTATGGACGAATATATACATTTAATATTTTGTAGAAATTCTGAGCAGGATTTTTTCATATGATCTTTTTATCATTCCAACTTTTTTCATTTCCTTTTGATTTTTTTTGCTTAGAATTTCCTTCTGCCTCTAATCAAGACTGGCTGATGTCCGCATATATGAAACCGGGATTAACGTCAAACACTCGTCATAGCATCGATGAAGTTGGTCCTTTATTCAACGACGGTATTAATGGCGCGGAATGCGAATTTAAATGGGATACTAATTGTTCTACTATATCAGGTTCACCTGATTATCAAGGAAGGAGGCATCACCAAAATAATATCATTCCATACTGCACCGCCACTAATATTGCTACAATGTCTTCACCTGACATGAGTGGTGAATCTACTATTTCGTCGCCTTGCAGCACTGACATGACTCACGGGCTAGTGGAAGAAAATTTTATGCTACAGGTTCATTGATGAACTATAGCATAACGGTTTGCAATTTACATTACTGTACAATACCACGTTATCGAACGTAGAAGTGGGAAAACAATATTTTATACTAGCTAACAAATTTATATTTATTATGTTGTACAACTAACCACGAAGCTGAAATTTGGACAGTATATGCAAAGTTTAAATGGCGTCACCAGGATCTTTGAACAATTTTTATTTTATTTCCGACCGAAAAGTATACATTTTGCTTTTGTTAAGTTTGTATGATGTACAAGTATTTTCTTTCGCATGCGTGTTGGTACATTTCGTAATGGTAGTTTCACAATGGGGAGAACTTCACCAATGTATATTGTTATTGTGAGTTGCTTGCCTATCAATCACAGCTTTTGATTTATTGCCTTCAATAAATTCTAAACGCTCATCATTTGAGTCTTAATATTAAAAACTTACAACCAAAGCTTTGGCCCTTGACAAAAGTTTTGTTTTAAAAATGTACAAATAGAAAACCCGTATTTAATTCTCACAAAATTCTTTTAGAAACCTGCAAAGAAGAAACCTTTTTTAAATAATTCTATGGGCCAAGAAAAACGTTACTTTATTATTTTTTCTATATATATAGTTTTTGATAATGTAGTTGTATTTTGATCGGACCACGAGAAAAAGTGAAGAATTCGTGAATTGAAGCTTTATTCTACTCATATATATTGCTGCAACATTTGGTTAATTTATTGAAATTTCACAATGACAAAAGTGTTTTTAATACTTTGTAACTAAAGTGCCTTCCATTTTATACGTATTGCATACATGGGTTTCCTAATTATTTGTTGCCATCATTAAAATCTTAAGTTTCAAAACAGTGTGCTTATCTGTAATTAAAGAAGGGAATTGTGGGGAAAGTAAAATTTCAAAGATGACAAGAACAAAGATACGGAGGGCATTCGAGGACTGTGTAGTATTAGTTCACTATAAATAAATCAGAAGATTTCCGCTTTTACCAGTTGTTGATTTTTATGCAAATATGAGTTGAGATCTGTAAAACCAGGAATTGCAAGTTCAAAAGTGCGTACAAGTTTGGAATTTGTCCATAAAGATTTATTCTAAAACAATATTTTTGTTTTAAATAGGTTGGAACATGACAACTAGTCTGAGAATAATCTTTTTCTGGTTGATGATTTGATAATACTGTACACGAGTTGTTACTGTACTGTTGGATCTGATCGCATTGACTGTACCACAATGTTTGCGTGTGGTATGCTACACGTATTACGCTTTCTGAGATGCATGTCTCAAAACCAAATTGGCATAATTATCTCATGTGGACCAAATATTTATAATTTTGATACTTAACTTCTACTCAATCTACTGCTACCTTTGGTCAGGTTAAGACTTCATGATTCTGGCTGATTTATGCTACAAATGATAAAGTGCATAAAATCATAAAACTTGTAAAATATATTTAACAGATTTGTTAGCGCCTTTAAAACAAGTTGAAAATAGTATAAAGAAGTGAAAAAAGATATTAGAGGATAGTTGTTTTGCTTTTAGGCCTAGGCAGGCCCGGATCCAGGCCAAGGTTTCGCGTTGCCGTGAGCCCGTAACAAAAATGTTCACTTGTTCTGACACAATTATTGCAAATATTGACTCTGTTAGAACTAAAAACTATTCCGATGCAATTTTTCATTGCTTTTAGGGATATTTTAATAACAAAACAGAGGAAGCACAGTATTTGTTTTAAAACGTGAGTATTTTGAAGTTGTGAACATTTCATATATATATATCATAGAACAGTGGTTCTCAAACTATTTGAAAAAATTTGCGTAACGGTCCCCCTGCAATTTTTTTGAGGACTCGCGGTCTACAAAAAATTCAGAATAAGAACATGTTATATCGAGCATTGATTTATTGCATGTCGTTGGTACAGTTTGATGTCATGGGTGCAATTGCTTGGCTTTCACCTGTTCATCTATTTGGGGTTCTGTTTGGGCCAATACTCTTGTATCATGTCTCATGTGTTATAAGTAAATACTAAAACTTTTTTCAGCACTATTCCTTATGAAAACCGTCACAGCAGTGCTTCTGTATTGGTGTCAAGTTGCTTTGCGGTCCCCCCCTAAATCACTTGGCGGACCCCACTTTGAGAACCAATGTCATAGAAAATCGATTTTATATATATTCTTTTTAATATTTTTTGGCGTCGTTAGTAAACGGATGACTTGTGTATTAACCTGAGTGTACGCCTGGAGAGCTTGCTCATCAATTATAGTCTCCTCAAGACAAAATCTAAAAAAAAGTAATAGTCTCCTAACTGGCTCTTCTATCCTCAAGTGCCTAAAATTTGGAATTGATTGGTCGATTAGTTGCAACGAAAAGGTATGTTTTCAAAACTACAACAGTTTAGCAAAACGATCCACAGGTTCAACAACAATAGGCAACCATAGAGAAGAAGTTATAGAATCTGATCGCAAAAAGTATTTTGGCATTTGAGAGATGTTATTGATACTTTAGCTGCTAGCATATTCTCAGAGACAGTCAAGAATTTTTATGGAGTACTTCAAATAGGGTAACGTTGCTAGACATTATATCATGAAGGACACTCACACGTCCACAAATACATTGAATTACACGATAAGTATTGTGATAGGAAATTCTAATTTTGTTGAAGTTCTAATGATTGAAGAGCATCCAGAGTTGACAGTTATAAACAATGCCACGAGTCCGAAGTTTTTACTATAGTAGAACAATTGATAAATTCTCTCAAAATTGTATATAAGACTATAGAATAGATTAATCAGTACTGTCGATTTTTATGCAAAGTTTGATACCAGGTAGATTTTCCAAACTGAAATACTCCATCCGGATACCCCTGTAAACATTTTTTTTTGGAGTTGTACAAGATGTCATGCTCAATTGAATATTTTCGCATATAGAAGGGGAAATGCTGCACCTTTAAATCATGGAAATTAAATTAGGATTAATGATGCTGTTATTTGCAACACATCGAATGGCTTCTTGTTTTATCTGAGTAGAAGAAGTCCATGAAAATGACATGCAAATGAGAACTCAATAAATTACATCTTTCTAGTGCCATTATCGGTTGAGAATGGATCCGACACGAAATTGATTGCGAAGTGCACTGACAGTGAGCACCTATTTGTTAAAACAATTATTAACATCATAATTTAAAATCTAAAACCCCAAAGATTTATTCTTTCCGGTAGCAGCACTGCTAAAATGATTCTTCGACATATTAATGATTTTTTCTCCCAGGTGCCAAATACTAGCTGGAAGTGAGGAATTGGTGTCCTCGGACATAATTATCCTATCTAGGGACCAAAACTGTTTGAGACGGTTACACAATAAATAATTGACAATAGTATCACATTGGAGCGATGACAAGGATTTTTATGATAAAACTATTCAAGATATGATCGCCAAGCAGCTGCATAAGTCAGCTCACTGTTCATTTTAGGAAAAGAATTAGTATGGATGGAGAATCCTGTAAGATTGCGACCTAATAAGGACAGAACAAACGTCGTTGCTTAACTTCTTAATTCTATTTGAGTTTTGTAGTACTGAACCTCCAATAACATGACATGCAATTAGTTAAGAATGAAAATCAAATATTTTCGTTTCGAAAACATATTTCCCATAGGCGATCATCATTAATTGAACAAGAGAGCGATGCTCAAAAATATGGACACGAAGTCCAAAACAAAGTACTTCTTGAACCGTACTTACCGGTATAAATAGATCTCCGAGTTCGCGTAGCGTCGCGTCAAATCGGAAAAGCCGTCACGCTTGGAGGTTTAAAAACTGTGTTCCATAAAAAATAAAAATATAGCCAAATTTTGGATGAAATATCATATATCATAAGATTCATAGAAAATATAGAAATAAATAAATGTAATAGCTTACTAACGCAAAATACAATCTTCAACCGCTCAAAATTTCAGAGCAATTGATCCATTAGTGAATGATAAAAGCGCTTTTTTCGTAACAACAACATGTAAAATACCAACAAAATCAACAACAACAACAACATAATAGCAACATGTTCCACAGGTTCATTTTGTGCCCAATTATTTACTGAAATATGGAACACGAGACCAAATGAACGGTCTGAGATAGAACAATAAAATGCACCAAACCATGTCCTATATACAGGATCAAAATGGAAACTCTTGTTGTACAACGAAAAGTAGCAGTCCATAGATCTGTAGTTTGCACTAATTTATGTTTGATACATTGACTGCCTCGTAAATGCATTAAGAAGTTAGCTTCTTTTTTATTATTTCGTTTTTAAAGAATTTGCGATGGCACACCATCATCTGTTTAAGGCGCAATCATCGACTACATTTCCATTAGGCATTGCATTATAGAATAAATCGCAAAACTCTAACAAGTTTTTAGTAATTATCAATATCGCAGAACAGTTTTATAAAGACTGGTGTGTGTTAAATAAATTTTCTGTACCGTATGCCAGTCCCAATGTCACTTATAACTAAAAGGCTATACACGAGAAAGACACAGAAAGGGCTCCTGCCTCAAATCTACAATACAAATTTATGTAATTTGCGATAAATTTCTGCTGGGTTGACTTTTATAATATTCGTCTCGCAAACTAAGTCAATTTCAGATAAACTTTGAAAATTATATAAAATCAAATTCATCAAAACAATTTACCTTTAACAACCCTTCAAGTTGAAAAACACAAAACTCAATGCCTATACTGTGTGAATCATAAGTAGAAAATGCTTTATTTTAAAAGCATTATAACAATAATCCATAATAGAATAAGATATTTTGTACTATAAGCGAAGTTACAATGATAGCAGGCAGAATAGTCAAACATCCAGTGTGGGGTATGGTAATTAGATTAGAAGCATTCAGCATGAACATGGTGCTGTTGTTAGTGGAAACTATATTAGTCTAGACTATATGACTCTAGAATTTGAACATATTTGCTTTATAGGTAGTGGGCAGAGCTTTAGTTGCCTCCCCCAATACTGAAATATATTTTGCAATATGCCATTTCACGGTGGCTATCGGAGCTATTGCGTTGAAATGCAGTTTGGTATGCTCCTCTATGTAGACAATAACTGTGTTCAAGTTCTACTACTAATATATGTAGGTTCGATGAGCTTATCTGTCTGTTTTGAGTAAATGATTAAGGTAAACAAATCACCAGTGTGGACCAAAACTAAAGCATATTACTCTTCACTATACTCGACACATGTTCAATACTGTTCGCCTCGTAATTCCAAAACAAAACTCCACCGATAAAAACCTTCACTGATTACTGGCTCATCATTACGCACCCCCCTAAGTAGGTCTGATCATTATTCGAATTATTTATAAAATAGCGAGGATTTTATTGTTTTATTAACCCTAATTACTGTTGCCGAGATGTCAGGATAGAATTAAATTGCTGATTTTGTTGTGTGGCTATAAATGTATGCATAAAATATGTTTACATGTTTAAGTCTCATCAGAGGAAAGATATAGATATGAAAAATCGCTACTTCTCCGTGACGTGGTTAGCTTCAAAGTTCTACTGCACATTTGGAATTGGAGGAAACTCTGATACGCGGGAATCCAGCAGTGATTCGACAAATACTCTGTAGTAGTCCTGTGACAGTGACAGTGAGGTAACATTTGAATACATACCAAAACGTACTCATTTTAGACATATCCTCAAGGATTATTTGCAAAAAAAAAATCATTACTTCAGTTGACTGTCAAGACCGCATTAAACTGGCAGAACAAAAATCATTTTGTTTACTAATTATCAGCTGCACCGAATACTGTTATTGAACGCAATAGTAGAAGAGAATAATGTTTCGGTTCTTGACGTTATGCTATTTATTACTATTTATCAGTGATGTGAAGTCAGAGTTTAACATGTTTTCGTTGTACCCGGAGTCGGAGTCCTGTTTATAAACTCGACAGAGTCAAAATTATGAACTTCTAGACCGTGTAGTCAGAATTTATGACGTTTAATAGTTGCGAAATCAAAGTCAAAATTTTTCCACAGAAATTTAAAAGAAAATAGTAAATGGATAAACGTTTTTAACATCCTGTTTAAGAAGCATACGCCAAAGTTTTTATTTACAAAATTAGATTTTGGTGGGAGTTCGAAGGTGGAATCGGTGTCGAAATTTTCACCCATCAGGAGCCGGAGTCGAATGTAAAGTTTCGCCTGTAGTGTTAAAACTAATATATATGAGGCAAACATGCAACTCCTGTTTTATTCCCGACCCTAGTTTGACAAAAAATCATCTTCCGACTCGATAGCAAATTTGGGTTGGCCTATGAACTATTCTTACAACGCTTATCGGGTATATATAGAATAACAAATATAGCGCTGGGGATTTTCGAGTTGGACCGAAGTCGAAAGTATGAATATTTTCAGAGGTGGGGGTTGGATCAGAATATTAGACTCCATGAGTTGGTCATTCGGTGTTAAAATTTTCAGCAGAAATAAAAAACAAAAGTTCCACCTTTTATAAAAGTCGCTCATCAGTTCGGGCTAAAACATCATCTTAAACTGGAGTGGGATGCCAGGGCTGTTGTCAACAGTCAGATTGATCTTTTCAAAAACTTCCAATTTTTATTTCGGTTGAAAATACAAACAAACTATTATATATTACCAGTTTTTTATTGAGTAAGATTAACTAAACCGATTTTAATTGAACCACTGAATTCCCCTGATCATGGACGTTTCATAAACCATCTTACAGTAGAGTAAAAAATACTGCAAATAATGTTTTTGCTAGAACACATTTTAATACTAAAGCAGCCGTAACAGTTTCGGTAACATATTCTTTCATATTTTTTTTCACGAAAATATGAGAATATTGATATCAACAACTTTACCAAGATAGGGAATTACAGAAATTTTTGTTGTACTTGTAGTAATTTTGGCCGGTAGAAAATCATCAAGTAACCGAGGGTATATATACAATGAAGATGGTGCGATTAATTTCAGATATATTTAGTGTTGTGTTGTCTGTTAAAACCGCTTCCATCAACCATTATCGCAAATTCTAAGACACAACTATAGTCAATTTGTCAACCGTTTCGATGGCCCTTGACGACGTAAATCGTTCGAATGAAAATGAAACTTTGGTAGCGCAAATTCATTGTATCTCCGCACGAAAATGCTAATACACTATTTTATAATGGGCGCCAACGAAACCCGAGGAAAGTATAGTTTCTAACATGTTTGGAGGAAAACGATTGGTATGTCTGCTTCGGTTGTGGCAAATAGTCCTATTTTCAGTCAACCAGTACATAAACAACAAATAAATACCCATCAGGCGACATCATCGGTCTAGGACCTTTCAATTGTTCATTTCCGTGATACAACATTAAAGTCGAGTTTAACAAACTTATACCTCGTATTTTATTCTAGAACCATAATTGACAACCGGCACATTTATTGGTTGAGAGATGTGTCAGTCCTATTTGTGTATTTCAGGAAATGTCATAATCAAAACAAACGCTGGGTTAGAAAGTAGAGCAAAACAAACAACAGTATCCTCAAGTATACATTACTGGAAATGAAAGGTCGGCGAACTGGATAATTTCGTATTAGCCTACAAGAAAATCGATATAATTTTAAACATCAGAAATTTAATATCGGTACCACGATTAACATTTTTTGATAGTGGGAATGAGAAAATTGAAGTTTTTCAAACATTACTGTAATTGCATTGTAAGGCATTGCAACATAGAACCCTTCATTGCTCTAAATGAAATTACGCCCGTTTTTAACACGCTTTATGATATTTTTCTTGTCAGTTGTCGATTTTTACGTCTTCTTCGACCTGACTTCATTCACGATCAAGTCAAGCGTAACCCAGAGTTTAGACCACACTTGGAGGCAGCCATTTTGTCATATCATTTTATTTTTTCCACTCTTTGATAACCTGACAATAAACTTCGCTGCTTGACTAAAATAGGTTGTCGGAGCAGTAATAACTCACACAATCCTTCAGTCCGATCTAGTAATAAAATTCATTTTTTTCATTCATACTAAAAGAATATAACTTGTTTTATGAATGTTCATCCACTGTCTTATTGAAGTTTATACGCAATGTATTATTAAAAAATAATTTTTTCAAAAATATGGAATAATGGTGAATTCTCTTGGCCTACGGTGACAAGGAACTAAATAATATGTTTTTATATTATCAAACATTAATCTCGTTAATACGAAATCTACTGAATGGTGACTTTTCATAATATATGTAGTGTATTTTGTAGTTCATACTTGCTATTGTTATCACCCTTATATCGTTAAATATTTTCTCCCGACGATAATTTTGTTTCACAGAAACAGATTTTTCACATTGGACGATTACCAACTCAAGCTTTAATATTTAAAAAGGTAATGACTACTTTCAAGAGTAGCAAATCTAGTAGTAGATCAGTAAACGCTAGTTTTATGTCCATTTTCTCAACATCAAAATGTTGAATAAATACTTTGCGATTATCTCAACGTACATCGATATTATTTCCACTCAATTCTTAAGTGGCCATTACAACGCATCTTGTTGATTTTTGATCTGCAAATGTTGTCTTTCATAAAAGAGATATTATCCGTTTTCTCACGTCTTTTCAAGTACAGAGGGAAGCTTTATATTTAAAAATAAAGTGAAGTTAACAAACTTCTCGAAAGTGAGCTAACGTGAATTTTTATATAGGTGTTATTCACCTTTAACATTTTTGACTCAAAACAGCTACTGCCATAATTTGAAAATCATATTTTAGGGTTTTCGTAATGTACGATCATCACATTGTATTGCTGGTATACGGCACTCTGGAATGCATATATATATATATACGTTCACTCCAGTCACTACGATGGGTGAGAAATGACAAGAACGTTTGCAATTCAGGATTATAAACATTATTCAGATGACAGCGATAGGCATTAGGTATGATTTGCTTGAATAAGTTTGTTATATAGAATAAGTTTATCGAGGCTTGGCATTTTTTTTTACTGCTAAAGGTCAAGGACGCCATTTTGAGATCACTGTCCGACTTACACCATATTAAGTTAACTACTCATTTTAAAACATTAGTTTATTTCAAAAAAATGAAAAAGTAAATCAGAAAGTAAAATGTTTGGCGTTTGGGCTACATTACAAATTAAGCATGTAGACTGATATAAACTAACAATGTAGTTCAGCTACATTTGAAATTCATAATCAAAAATGACATTGCGCAGCATCAAATCCAGGATTTATGCATTGGGAACGTTGAGATATGGTAGCACGATTTCTATGTAATTTCAAGACAAATTTTGAACAAAAAGTAGCGCTGTACTCGTTGTAGCTTTGTAGCAATGTAGTCACGTATTTGCAAATATACAGAAGGTGAAAAAATACCAGAGAAAGCTCGAAGAATTGCAGTCTAAAATTCTTCATGAAAAAGTGAAGTAAATAACTTAATTCGATCGTCGTTATTCGGGTAAGTTAATTAAGTAATCAAACTGTTGTATTGGCAGCAATTTGTTCAAATTTAGTCATCCAATGAAAAGGAATATTATTGCGCGATTCTGGAAGTGGCTTTTCGCAGGATTGTGAATGAAAAAAGTGTTTTTCAAAAGCGGGTTTCCGGTGGCTTCCATGATGTTCTGGGCTCAATTGATCGTCAATTTTTTCGGTATCGCTACAGGATCCAAAATCTGAAAAACGCTTCATCTGATCTAAATTGCGATTTTTATAATTTGTATTTCTGTCAAATAGGCTTTCAGCCTCTGTATCTGATTCGCCACAAGCAGTCACCCCCTCATCAGTTTCCGAAGAAGTCGACGTGTTCACGCCGTCGCATGGGGCCCTTTGGGTTGACTCCGGCGAGGTCTGACCCACAACACTGTTCAAAAGACCATATTTTGCGGCACGACGTACGAATTCCTTCGACGAAATAATTGGGAAGACATTTTGTTTTTCTTTAAGTTTTTCGTTTCTATTTGAAACAGGTGAGCTACTTGCACTCGTAGGAACCGAATCATTCTCTTCAAAATCGTCGTCATAAGGAACTTTTTCGCTGGAATTCGACATTGAACACGCTTGTTCTTCACTCCAATCCATGACATTATTTGCAACTTCAGAGTTTTTCTTACACAACGCGGGGCCCACGAACTTTTCTAAACATAAATGAGGTTTTAGGAATTTACGAAGAGGAATTGTCGGGAAATAATGAAAATGACCCGTCGACCAATTATTATTTTTCAAAAATAAATTTTGCTGAATGATTATTAGAATTCGAGATCTAAGATAACTTATAATATATTCTAGTATGCGCCCGCCAAAGCCAAAATACGAACCTTATTCCGTGGGCAAGCATTTTAGTTTAGTTATTACAAACTAATGATTATGAAGACCGGACTGTGTTGAATACTCGCTCTCATATAACTCATATCGTAATTTGATCATTTTTATTAGTCTGAATTTGTTAGTAATCCTTACTTAACACATGATTGGCTACATATATACACACCTTTAGTATCATCAGCAAGGTTGTGGTTATCTTTATAGTTTTCATCCGTGCAGCCTACTTTGGTCAATCTGGAAAAGAAAAATAGGTTGTTAAAATGGTTCAATAAATTTATGAACGCAAGAACGTTCTTTTATTGAAAATGGACCACTTTTTATTACATCGAGTTGAACAATATATAAGGTTTATCCCATTAAGGTACATCTGGTATGTTTTTGTTTGTTTTCAAAATTACATTTCAAATTATTTTTTATGTAATATATTTTTATTGACATATATCGACAGCTTACATTTCAGATCTTTCCAGATGTTTTCTGACATGTCTTTCTAGGTTAGTCTGTTGTCCAAACGCACGTCGGCAAAACTGGCAAGAGTACGGCCTTTCCTGTGAAAAATTATCCGTTTCAAATGACCGTTTCTAATTAATTAATCTATATTTGTGTAAAATTGAAATTGTGGTGCACAGTATGACTATCGAGTTTAGTAAAATACTTGGAGATACTTCAAGATATGCTTCATGATGCCGATTCTGGTAGTTATGCTTCATTGCTTTTTATAGCAGAATAACTTTAGTTTTATGCCAATGTCTTAAGTACCTTGTTATGAATGTTCCGGACGTGACGCTGCAAGTTTGAAGATATCGAAAAGCTTCTGTCGCAATATTTACACGAATATGGTTGTTCACCAGTATGAGTTCGTAGATGTCTTGTCAGATTTGCACTTCGAGGGAAAACTTTTGAGCAGTATTTGCATACGTAACGTTCACGTTCGAATCGTTTCTTTTCGGCAGAAGCAAATGGACGATAGAGGTTTGGAATACGTGCTTGATAAGGTAACGCTATTTTCCTGTGAAACTCCATTGGGAACCCTCTTGCATCACGAGAGCTGCATAGTGTGTCGTGTTTTTCGTAGGTCCTCGGTTGTACGACTTCGGGTACTTTTCTACCACTCAAATTTGAACTTTGAAAATGGGTAAAATTTGAAAATGGGTTTCGGTTAACTTGGTCGCCGAATCGAAGAAGATGTTGAATTGGGTTTCTTCCGTTTTCGGGACTAAACTTATTCATCTCGGAATTTTCGTTTCTTGATTTTGGTGACACATGAGGTAACGGTCGTTCATATTGGGTTTCGGTTTTCGGGTACTTCCCGAGCAATTTGTTTATTGAAAAATTGATTTTGTCATTGGCCGGAGGTATAAGTTCCTTGAGAGGATGCGCGAATACATGTGGAGCAAAAAGTTTATTATGCTGAAAGTTAGATGATGGGAAAAGAGACGGATTGATCGCACTTTCTTCCGGTGTTCGCTCCACAGATTGTTGGAAGGAAGAAAGGGACTTTCTTACTTGATCTGCAATTATGTCTTCTTGTGTGCGTTTGTTCATGGTTAAGTCTAACGGTTCGTCTTTTTTGCCTTTCATATATTGCCACGAATTGAGGTTATCGGTCACAGGCGACGATTCTGTTGGCAGTGTATTGCTGTGTTTGGTTTTCTGCGTTCCTGTTGCCAAAGAATCGTAAAAGCTGCGAGCAAAGAGTGGATTGATAAGATGTGGCAGACCCAATTTGTGCAACTGGTCAAGTGTATTCGGAATTGGTGCAGGGGAAAATGTGGATGACCCGATGTCAAATAGTCTCTGGCGCGTGGCAATTTCATCAAGCATTTGGCGGAATCTAAAATTCCAATTAAGACGATAGAGTTCACTTGCTGTTCTATAATTAGCAGAAATGTCGCGTTCGTTGTCTATGGAGCCTCTTCTTTTAGGAGGTGAGTCGAATAAGTTCGGCAAAAAGTGATTGATCGCATTGGGTGTTACATCACACGAACGTTTTTCTGAAATCCTTCTGGGGGATTTTAAGTTTTGGATGTCAACTTGAACTTCAGAATGTCTGGCATTTGAGTGATGACGTACTCTTCCCTCCGCACTTTCGTACCTCAATCCGTTAGCTTTTAAAATGCGAACATCATTCCACGTGTTGTAATTGTTCATGGGAGACATTTGATCGACATTTGGGTTTTCACATTGGACTTGAACATCAACACGGTTTGGTTTGTTTACTGTTGTCGGTGATGCGTGAACGGACGGTCGAATGTTTGTGCCGCACAGCAAGTTTCTTGCTTGACGAAAGTATGCGTCGGATTGAACGTTTGGTAAATTGTGCACGAACGGGAATGGTTGCATTTGAGTCGAATAATGTTGAAAATATTTTGCTGAGGCTTGGTCGTCGCTAATTTTTCTAATCTTGGACAATGGCATGACGTCTAAAAAATTAAAGAAAATGTTAAACTTCCAGTATATTGTTATTTTAAAAGTAATTTCCTCGACTGAAAAGGCAATGCACTGTTTATGACTAATAGCGTCAACTTTCATGAGAAATGAATACATACATTTGATACATCACATAGAATAAACTGAAAGAGTTTTCATTGATATTGTTATATCTGGAATTGTTTTTCAATATCTGACCGGAGAAAAATATCACATACTTATGTTTGAATGTGGTTTCTATTATAGCGAGAAATAAAAATAGGAAATGAGTATCCAAACAAAAAAATCAACTGATGACTACACAAAACTTCCCACAATTTGATTAAAGGCGATTTTATACCATGTCCGCTTATATGAATTTTGTAAAGCAATTCACGACATTCCTAATAAATCAAAAACATTCACCAATTTTTCAAAGAAAGCGATTGCTAAAAATTGGAAGCCGTGTTGCATTTCTGTGCAATTTACAGGGTTCATTTTTAATGAAATGATTGCAATTATTATAAAATTAAATAAAGTACAAATATTTTTAAAAAAATATTACGCACCGGGGTTCTGTTGTGACATATTTTCATTTCCAAATCTAATAAGTTGTTGGTTTAGAAGCGAGTGGGATGGTGTATCGTCCTCTCGTGTTCCAGGTGTTGACAGCAGGCTTCCATTTCGACTGTAAAAATATATATAAGCATCATTATTAAAAATTTGAACAAGTGAAAATTCTTAATTTTATATTTGCTTCGGATTCCTTCAAATCAAATAAGAACTGTTCTTACCTTCCTATGTAAATTGAATTCGATTCGCAGAATCTTCGATGTTTGTTCAATGCACTTGAATTCGGGAATGATTGTGAACAATTTTCACACTTTATATTTATTCGACAATCTGCATGCATTCTCTTATGTCTACAAAGGTTTGAAAACTGTAAAAGAAGTAGAATTTGATTATTTGATGAATCAAGCGCTTTATGTCGTAAAGGTTGAACAATTAGTGGCAAAATTGTTCATGTGCTTCAGAAAGTTATTAATAATGGTTAAGATATGTGCATAGGAATTATTATTTATTCAACGGCAATCAAAAAAGTATCTGTTCTGCCTTTAGAACGTAGGAAAATGGTCTGAAATTTATTTACATTGAAATTCCATTTTGATTACCGCATATTGTAAAACAACAATTCCCTTCGCAGACAGGACGATACCTGAGCAAGACCTTTCAACTTGAACTTCCTATTGCTACGTTTTGTCTTCATTTAAAAATATTTGTATGCGAGTGTTTCATTTCAACTGCGGAAATGCTTTCGCTTCAAACACAAACTGCGAAAACTACAAAATATTTTACTAATGGATTCAATTGTCTCTCGTGCGGTCGTATTTTAACATTTGCATCAAATTTGCAGAGAAGGCCATTTGATATTTATTTCAATGTATATTTGAAACATGGTTCGCAACTTACAACTCAGAATACCTATTCTGATGCTAGGAGAAGATAATATTTTTCCAAACTAAAGTTTTGTGTATTTGATTTACTGTGATTTATTGACAGACGCGTATATTTTTAAAAGTGGGAAACTGTATTGCCAGTGAACTTGATTCACACAATTACATACAATTCGACGTTGGAAATATTTTACCGTTCCTTCAGTTTGCAATGAATTGTCAACTGACAATTCAATATTGGTTGGCCCAGTGATGGGACAACGATTTTAGTTTGTTGTTTCGAAATATCTTTCCCATTTCACAAAAAAAAATTAAATGCCAAGTGTTTATTTCCAAGAACTTTATGAGGACTTCATATTACCTCATAGCTGTTTCATTGGTCGTGCTGGCGAGAACTACTACAAGTTTCGCATTAACGTTTGCTGACACGTAATGCACAACCATGAATCTATATAGTTTCAGTAACCTTTGGCGTTTAAGCGGCACTAGCCCTAATCCTCTACTTCTGAGGAAGTGCGTGTGTTCTTTATTTTACAAATTACAAAAAATATCTCATGTGTTACCTATTACTAAGCCTTACAAATTGAGTCTCACTCACCTGGGTGTAAGATTTGTGGCATACTTCGCATGTGAAAGGTTTTACACTAGAGTGAATATGTTGATGCTGCTTTAGACCGCTTGAAGTTGCGAAAGTTTTTCCACATTCTGGGCAAGGATGTGCTCGAGCCCCAACATGATGCTGCCGGATATGGCGTTGGAGGTTTGATGGGTCTGTGAACGATTTGTCACAATGCTCGCATCTAAATCTGCAAAATAAGATAATATGTGTTTTGTGAATAATTTCCACAGAACTTTTTCAATTCTCTCAAATATTTATTTACCCAGATGGACTGGGTGATTTATAAACAGATTCAATTGATCATCATTTTTCTATGGATACTCATCAAGTAAACCTACAAAATCTAACTCAGGTATTGCAAAATTTGTAATAATTAGAAAATATAGTGATTAGTGATTCTAATTCATTTTTTTGTGCTTGGTTGTTATCAAAATTTGGAAAAAACACAAAATCAAATGAATTTATTTTTATGTTGTTGAAAATAGAAGTTAGCAAATTTAAATGATTTTAGTTTGTTTAAATTTTGAAGCGATTATAAATCATGTAAAATTATAAAAAAAACTTAAAACCTACTTTTTATCACAGTCGCTTTGTTGTTGGTTTTTGTCGAAATGCAAAGAATTGTTAAAGGATGGTCGATATAAATATGCATGCACGTCATCTATTTGCCTCGGAGATGAATCTTCTGAATTTTCGACAAAGTCAGAATTCGTCATATCTGGAAATTAAGAATTGTTAATTGATAATAATAAACATTCTGTCATTCTAAAATGATATATATATTATTAAATCAATGAATTTATAACCTATAACATATTGGGTAATACGCTTTACATTAATTTTATATTTCGTATTTATATTGGTGATTATATTCACTATTTATATTGATGTCACATTTTATGCAATATAATAATTGATTGAAATATATCAATATGAATACCTGGCTCTGATATTCGCCGCCCAAAATACTTCGGTGACGTTATATCCGAATCACGTGATCTCATTTTCAATATCATTTCCGGTCGTTCACAGTCACCAGAATGATTGTTATTGTTGTTTGAATTTTCTGAGAATTTTCTTTTTTTTTTATTCTACAAATAAAAAAAATTAAGATTATAATATGACATGTAATTATAACCCCAATTGCGAAGCCCTCAAATAAAGTTATAAACAATGCAGATCAAAAGCAATATCGTTGGCGCCTTCAATAGAGCTTGAAAACAAGTTTTATTGAACGGTGAAAATATTTTCGGGAAGCTCAAGCAAAAACCTAAAATCTCGTATTATTGAATTTTAACATTAATCAAACTACTGCATTAAAGTACTTTAGATTAAATATGCGTTTAACTGCACAATATTTCGAAAAGGCACATTTTGAATCTGTCACAAATGCATAAAAAGTTGAATGTTGAAACGTCAATTTTCAAAATAACTCGAGACAAACGTAACAGTTGAGATAATATCTTCAATATCGTGAAGGGGTTTATTTGAACTTTACGACGCCTCTTCCCAAATGGTCTTGTATGTTTTACATTTAAAATGTCAATTGTTCGATGAAACAGTCGTGTTTAAAGTACCTTCGGCCTTTTAATGTACATTGTCTGATTTTTGTGTAACTAGCGACAGATAAATGAAAGTGATAATTGGTATCAATATTAACAGTGCGAAATGCGTACACAGTTAGAAATATGACTGCAATCTAACTGTATTTTGTTGTAAATCGCGTAATTCATTTCCTAAAAAATCAGGAAAAATCCATAAACCGACTTCAGAGCATTGTTAAACGATGCAATCCAGTACCATTTCAGCATTTTCAATTTAAATTTAACCATCGACGTCAAATCAAAATAGCTGTTGAATTTTAACTTGTACTGATTTTTTTTGCTATATATCAAATCTATTTGAAATACATTTCAAGTAGGCTCTTCTGAAAACACACGTTTCCACCCGTTTCAGGACAAAGACATTTACTTTACGGATATTACCATTTCATGCACCCGAATTTATGAACCCTTTAAGCAAATATTGCAAAAGATGTCTTACCGGACTTGGTTACTAATGATATATAGCAGAATATTAAATAATAATAATGAATACAATACTGATCTAACCAAACATATATTAAGTAGCAGGAGCAAAGAACAAACAAACTATAATTAAATGGCAGAAATCGCATACGTCAATATATGCTGTAACGAATATATTTTCATTTAAACATTTAAAGACATTTTTGATGAATAAAGACTATGTTTTCACAGAACTACAGTTATCATGCGTTTTACTATTTTAGTAATATTAAACAAAACAATATTTATATATTTACTAGAACAATTCTTTTTTAAATAAAATAATCCACGCTTAAAATTTTGCAAAAAACTAAAAACTTCTTAGATACGCGGTGATTAAATAAAAATGGCGGAAATTTGGTTAAAATGGAGACAAAAAACTTAATATTCGTATGGCGTGACAAGCTTCAAAATAACATAACGCCCGATGTTTTACTTTATCAGTTTAAAAAGTCAAAACTCACAACAAAACCATAAATAATATTCGTAATATTTACATACCTCGGAGTCTCCATGAGCAGCGGGATCGTCATGTTTCAGTGAAAACATACTTCGTCAATGTCTTGAGAAGAATTTTGCAAAGTAAATAAGAAAAAGAAAGATATAAATCATACAACGTTCACGCCTTCGACAAAAAATGTAACGCTTCGGCTACGAATGTAACAAAACTATAAGGGGGAAAGTGAATAATGCGTTCTTTTATAAAGCTCGAGTGGTGGACTGCGCGTCGAGTCCAAACAGGAAAAAAGAAAAAAATGCGAGAGAAAAAGTTGGACCGCGCGCGGATTCCGAGAAATAACGCTTAAGCGTGGTCATGGGTATATGGGCATTTTCTTTTTCAATTATTGTAGATGATTTCAAAAAAATAAATCAATTTTTGGAGTAAAAGCCTAAACACAATGATCGCTTATAGTCAGTGGAACTATTATCATACGTAATATTTTTCAATTTTGAATGATCTCAACTTTTCGCGAAGTCCAACGTAAACCATACATATATTTTACAACACTACCCCCATGTTTGATTTTGTGATAATAATCGAGATGGGGTTACGAGGTATTTAGTAGAATAGAATAAGCTTTATCACATGGGAGCTGATATCCTGTTGTGTTTGTTCTCCGCATGATACTGGAGTAAACTGGTGAAGATAGATTATTCCGATAATCGGATTTAGCATGTAATATGTAAAAGTGATATTATTTTGATACCCTACTTACTTGTTAAGCAGTATTGTACTATTTCAATAAAACATGTGGTATTATATTAAAAATATTTCCAACGCAAATAAAAGTAACTATAAAGGATACAATAGTTGTATTTTTTATAATCAGGTTAAAAAATGAGTGGAAATGTCCAAAATGCACTTTTCATATTTCTTGTTGAGTAGTTGGAAACATAACTGCTCAAGAGCCACAACTTGGGTTCAATGGAGAACTTCGCCTCTGTGCAGCTCCTTCAGACTCAGTGTCAAACAAATATTGCATACCTTAAATATATACTTGTTTGAGCTGTGTATGCTTGTGTTATTTCAGTAGGAAAATATTATATCGATTGATATTTTTCCTTCGAATAAGCAAAATAAAAGTCTAATTATAAAAAGCTTTATTGGGGGTTAAATATATTTCAATGGGTCAATGAGGGTTGAAGGTTTTCCGATCCTCCCGCGTACCATAGCTACATATTTCTCGACGCGCAGTATTTTCTGATTCGTATATTTTCATATCGACAGGTCCTATGAATTTCATTGCAAAAATATGATGCTTGTAAGCTATAATTTTAGGCCTTTCCCCCTTTTTTTGCAAAACAATTTCAAGTTCTCAAAATACAAATATTCTAAGTTAAAGTCAATATGCCAATCAGTACCTCTAATATTTTTTTAATCTCTTATTGACTGTTGCTGGTAGACTTTTGCAAAATTAACGAATAGTTTGGCCTATTTATTTATAAATAGTGAAAAGTAGATGGTAGACAAACTTGCGTTATGAAAAAAATCATTATCGTTGTTTGTATTATTAAAGTTTTTGGAGCGCGTTGAAAAATGAAAACCAGATTTAAACCCGTTTTTAATTATTTTCAAATAAAACATAAAATCATTAATTTCCAATATCTTTACTATTGATAATTTATTTTAAAGCTATTGCAAAAAATGGAAGTCGGTGGACATATTTTTATATTATCATACCTTTCAACAAATGTAATTTGATAATAAAGAATTGCGTGCCTACAAACGTAAAATAATGAATATTTTATTGAGCCTCACATCCCTGTTTAAAGTAACATGAAATTAGAAATTGTTAGCTATGGTTTTATTAATCTGTAGCTAAACGGACTTTTCCTTTAGATCTCAAACTGGAATGGTTTGTGTCACACACTTGTTTGGCTTTGACAGAATGCTCGATGATCTGGCGCTACAATATCATATGTATATCCAGCAGTTATATATTTAAAGTGTTGATTTTCACAGGCGACTTTTAAGCCGATTTTAGCATTATCATAATACAAATCATTTAAATTGAATATGGTATTAAGAATACAATGTCACAGCGAATATTACTCTGTTTATTCTCACTTTGTTAATCTTGTGTGCTCTTTGGGTTCATGATAGACGAAAGCCATCTCCAGGTATGGTCACAAGATAAAATAAGCTTCAATGGCGATAAGCCATGGCAGGTAGCGAAAAGAGAATCAAAAAGTAATTGCTGATGGGGATTTAGCGGATTAGGACAAGAGGAGAGAGAGAAAAAATAATCGTTAATTGTATCGGGTATAACACCGAACTGCTCGTAAGATCGATCGCCGTTACGTAAAAAAAATGAATCAGAAGCATGGGTGTCATTCAAATGTCTCCTGTGATTCAAATCCACCTCCTGAAAGTTGCCAGGCATCTCCTTTAACAATTTGTATGGTTTCTTTAGCCAGTTAATGCACATCACACGTCTTCCTGCTTCTCTATTCTGCTATTGAGCGGTATCCGAGATCTTTCGCGTTAGTCGTCCGTGAGTATCATTTTAGGTCATGGGATAGAAGTAACTGACAGTAAAATAGGAATTGCAACAATGCCTCACTATATCTACCATTTTTCACTTCCAAAGGCCACATCCCTTTAGCGTCAAATGGCAATCAACTTTTTACGCAATTCTGAAATTTGCGCTCGTACGGAGAATTTTTCTAATTAACTTTAACGAGGTGTCTCCTGAGATGTCTCCGACAATTGAAACGATAGAAGTGATTTCGAAATTCGGATTTATGTTTGCGTTCGAATTAGCGTGCGACATGGTGGCGAGAGCATAAATTTATCTTAAATCCAAACTCACGGCGAATCTAAGTTACGACTGCTTTGCGAGTGATATGGCTGACGTACGATTATAATATTCAATCGCCATATCGCTCGCTGAGGCAATGACGATTGCGTAGAAAATAAAATATCATTTCATTTAAGTTATAGTGGAATATATCTCGAAAATTTAGTTATTTTTGAAACAAAATATTTAAGTATAAATAAAAAATCGAATTGATATTGTTCTTTTAGTAAAATCTGTCACACAGCTTAAGGATTACGTCCAGTTATTAAATATTTGACTACGTTTATTTCAAATTCGAATAAATACAATATTTTCAACTTTGTAAATGACTGTCCTAAATTTCCCAAGGGTGATATTTCGATTAATCTCACAATGAAGTGAATATTGAAAAAAGTGCCTTTTATAAATAATCTTATTAAAATTTGTCCTCAAAATAGGAAGGTAAACAATATTTCACAGCAATGCATGACTTTTTCTATTTTATCTTTGACATTTCATGTTTAGAGAGTTCAAATGCGGATCATAACTTTACCTCCTAGCGACACCATTCATAGTATACTTTAAATTGGGCGATAAATAAATACAGTCTCGACAAAAAAAAACTTGAGAAAATTAGATATACTGTGCATGCAAAATACTTGAACTTAAAAAATATTCGTGAACCTTTTATGAGTAGAAGATATATGCTTTCAACATCCTCATCTCAAATGCAGTAAGTCGCCACGGTTAGTTATTGCAAAATACCAGGTAACTTTTGATTAATAGTAATCTAAGTATTGCTTGGAACTAAATCTGTTGAATCTTACGGAAGTATTATCACGTGAGCAATTTTGTTGATAAAGAGAATTATCGTATTATCCGTATTACACCTTATGTTATGTGCAAACATAGAGAAAGTATAATGCGGTGTTCCAGCCGAGGTGAGTTGGGGAAATTCTGTCAGGAAGTTTACCATATGTTAAATCCAATCAGCGAATATTTCCCAGTTAAACACGTACAAGCGTGGGTCATGGTGCGAGCCTTCATAAATGAATCACATTTATAGCACAATGTCAATCACGAGTGGATTAGGAAAACGGAATTGAAATCATTGCTTGTCGGGTTTCAAATTTCAAAACAAAATCTCTTAAATTTGAATATATTTTCGTTGAAGTGAAAATTTCCGAAATTTCCCGCTTGCTGTGCTGCTTTCCATACAGAAATCATATTTTAATTGAAACAAATATCCATCTATATATTGCATTCCACGTAACTTTGGCATGAAATACAGAGACTTGAACCAAATAAAAGTGTTTCATTTAATATCTCTTCATCTGCTCTATTTTAAAATAAAATTCACAACAAAACCTCTTCATTTTCGAGCCAGAGATATTTCCTAACGAGCCTTTTGTTACACATTTATATTGACATTCAACCATCTTAAGTAGAAAAGTAAACAAAATAACAAGTAACAGATGGATTCGGAGATAATTGAGATATTGGCTACAATTAAAATTGTGCAAGTGTCCTTGCTCGCTTCGAAACAACAAGTACTTTCGAATCAGTTCCGGTCTACGCTTTTCACAACGCACTTATTGTCACGAGATGATGTCTCCGTGTATATAAGTACCATTCTCGGTGGTGGCGAATGGCCAAAACAGCCGGTTAACTAAAACTGAAGTACGACTCCATCGGTCATGTTGTGATCCCGTCACTTTCTTGAGCTTTTCCATCAGCGACAGGACGGAAACGACACGACATCTTCACCAACCACAAGTTTTTCGTTAAACGAGTGTGGAGCGAAGATAAATAAATTTCAAAACAAATTTTTGGTTAGTTCTTAAAGAAATCCAACAAAAATGTGAAATTGATTACGACACAAGCTCGTGTGTCATTGATAAGCAACTAGCGATACATCCTCAATGCTCTTGAAATAATAATAATTTATCACAATTAATAATCCTCTTTTTTAATATTTTAGGACAGCATAGTAAATATGATCTTCACATTTATGGTTGGTCAAAATGAGCAACATTCATTGGATTTATCTTATACTCGATATCTGCTTCAGTATTGTGTCATTCGGCATACATGATACATATTTTAAACATCTTCAAACTGATTATCTATTCGAACCCATAATGCACTAGACTAGAGTAACTTGAATAATAAAATATAAGCTACAATATAGTGCATCATTTTACAAGTTGTTAAATTTAATTCTGCGACACTTTTGGTATATCTGTTGCCAGAAAACACGATGCTATACATTAAGTCGAAAAGAAATAAGCGTTTAGAAATAATTACTTATTGCAATTGATTCAAATGTATAATTATATATCCGTAAATATTGTATTATATGTTAGTATAGTATTTTTAAA